TCTAAAAACTTATGTATTTTAAATTAAAAAAACATAACTTTTTCACAGAAATATACTTAACGTTAAGATTTTCAGAAAGGAATTCGCTAAAGGTTCCTTATATCGGATATTCGCTTAACCGAGAGTCTACTCGATTCAATGATCAATCTAATTAAATTAGAGAAAACGGTTCAAAAGAGTTGTTAGATAGGTTTAGTATTTAATGGGTTCGAACATTAGCTGTTCAAGACACTGCGCCCATTGATGAACTATTGTATCTTAATTAAATAAGTTTAACTAATTAATTGGAATTTTAAGATAATGATGATAATTAAAATCAGTTTCATTTAATATTTCAGAGAATATATTCAATTATTTTAAATATTTTAAAATTATTTTATTATTCAAGCAACCATAATAGTGACATTTAATATACAATGTGATGCCTTTATTCCAATTAAAGAGTTTAATTTGACATAATCATGACTTCAAAAATTTTATTACTCATTTTCAACACTTCATAAAATTTAAAAAAATAATTTTATCACGTGAATAGATTATTATAGATTATTTATTAAAGTACACTGTAAAAAAAATTATTCATTTTATTTATATACGAGTATGTATGTGAGTTTACATGCACAAAAGCAATTTTGCAAAACCGAATCTACATTAATTAGAAAAGTTTTCAGATGAGTAATAGGACAAACCTCACGGGGTAGTTTCAATTTACCAAATTGTTGACTACGAGCGACGTCGCACTCTTCCTGATTACATGCGCCCTCAACCCATTTGGGTTGTGAACAAAAACAAATAAGGATGGAGCGAAAGAATACAAAACACAATGACGCAAATAAAATAAAAAGTTCATTCAAACCAAATTAATACAATTGAATGCGAAGTCTACAACATCTACAATGCGTCAGAGATGGACACAAAAGTAAATTGGCTTAAAACAACAAATATTCAGGAAAGAAAGGGATCAAATTTAAAGTCACCACTCATTCACTTCACCACAAATCGTTTCAAAATATCAATTGCAGAGTGGAAAAGCTTAACGCAAAAAAAAACGGAAACATAAAAAGAACTGGCAAAATTTAAAAGACAAGTCACAAAGCAAATCATTCAGTTTGTCACAAATGACAGCACAGTCAACCCCAGCAGCGGCCCAAGGGCGTTTAATATGTGACATAAATACGACAAGAGGGTAGACAGACACACAGACGGGCAAAGAATCGAGCAGTATCAACGTAAAGCGTAGTTTAGCTTTTTTTTAAGCCACTTTGAAAAAACTTGTCAAATTATTTGATATTTTTTTAAAGCTCCACTTCTTCTAGTCGTTGTGTGTGTGTGTGTTTTTTTTTTTTGTTGCTGATGATGCTAATGCTAAAGATGCTGATATCGTATAAGAATGATGGCCTTTGTTGTGTTTTTGCTAACTTTTATGTGCCAGAATGTCTGTCTTTTATTGCTTTTAAGTATAAATGTGGACATATTTTCAAAAGTGGAGCAAACAATTTTGACCACATGTTATATTATTATTATTGTTTATTATGATTGGTTTACTATGTAATTGTTGTATGTGTAAGTGAAAATATTTCCATTCAATTAATTAAAAAAATATCTTCAATAAAGTCTTATACAAAATAATAACTACGCAAGTGAAATTTTCTAAAGTGAGTACCTAACAATAATTTATTATACCCTACACACATAGCATAAAAAGAATATATTCAGTTTATTTATACGTTTGTAACGACACCTAGAATATCATTAGACAGAATGCAACACGTTCCAGAGTCTGCAGATTGGATCGCTGTCAAATTGGCACTTGCAACTGCAATTGACAGTGAAAATAGTGCTACAAACAAGCAAAGCTAGAGTTCTTCTCTGAGCTTCGGCAACTTACAACTGAGCGCTACTAGAAATTAAAACAAATTAAATAAAAGTACCACCTGTTATTAATGTATGATAGTCTTAAAAAAATACTGTGTATGTTAAGAACATTTTTTTAACTATGTACCTAACTCTAGATTTGAGGAACAAATATTGTAAATTAAATTAATAATAAAGCAAATATTAAAATTTGAAATAAAACAAATGAACAGCACGAAAGACAAGCTGTGTTCAATTTTTTTATGCAGCACATTGCTTCTTACACTTTTCTTTTTACGCATAAAAGTATTGCGACCTACAGATGGAGCTACCACATGGAACTTAACCTCTACGTAAATTTATGGTAGGCATCAGCGAATTTAATGACTGCTTCAAGGTCCATTTTTAGGACGTATTCTAGGTTTACAAATTGTAAGATACCAAAAAATTTAGGTATGTTCATGACAATGGAGAACATAAGCCCAAGAGATATGCTAAAGTCTCCTTCGTTGCATGTTTCTTGCGTTTCTTATATACTATATCATTTGTGATTTTATCTTATATGCGTATATCGCTAGTCAATGGTCCATCAAATGATAGTTTAGCATTCTTTCCGTGACAGTGCTCAGTGCTAGTACAAATAGTTTATTATACTTTTATACTTATACTTATATTTTCCTTCGTTTTTTCAGTACCTCTCCATATCTTCCTTAATTTCGGTATGTGATTATTTCTGGAGATATTTATACGTCCTTTTCTTGTGGAAATGCTAGTTGAACGTGACTTTTGATAATATCATCTACGTTCATCATTTTCTTCGAATAGCTGGGTATATAATGTTACTGCAACCATTGTTTCGCGGGCAATCTTTTCTTGCTCTCCTTATAAAATATTATGGGATGTGATATGATACCTAGCATATTGACTGGAACATATTTTAATAGTCTAAGTGAGAGGTAGCTTTGCTGAAATCAAACTTTATTTTGGGCTTGGCTTAAAAGAAAATGTACATATGTATGTACGAGTATAACAGGTATTAGTTATAGGCCTACGTTCATATATGGCGTGTTATAGAATATACGTACATTTAATAACAATGATTTAAGTGCCAGAACAAAACAAATACTTCCATTCTATTCTATATAGTTTCCGTTCTCTAGATAATTTTACAGTTTTAATTCATTTTAGAAACAATTCTCTTTCTTTAGAACTAATCCAAACTGAAATTACAAAATTTTATTGTTTGATTCTTCTTCATAACTTTACCTATGTATATCATTTACAAAAATCAATTTAGTTATACCTTAGACAACTTATTTATAAATATATTTTTCCTAAAATATTAGTAAATAAACGTTTTTTATATACTATCAATTATTTTTGTTTTGCTTATATTACCATCTCATTATTTATATAAAAATGCACTAAAATACACTGAGAAAAAAACTTACGTTAACTTGATAAGATTATCTTTCATTGATTATGTAGAATAACAAAACTTAATAAATCATTAGTTTACTTTTGTTTAGTTCCCTCGGTTCCCTCGAAAGGTTGAGAATTATTACTCCACTGACATACATATACATATGAATACATATGAGACTAATGTCAATGACATTATATGGCACTATCAGCATTTTCATGAAATTAAAATAATGAATTTATTTTATCGAACTCATAAAGTCTTTAAGTGTTGACATTAATAGGCAAATATTGTAATATCAGTAAAATTAAGTTTTTAGTTATCAAATAAAATCATTTGATTATTTGAAGACAGACAAAGAGGCGCCACTTTTTCGAAAACCGAAGTGTTCCCAGAGAAATGGCTTTGATTAGATATAATGTGTTTTAGATAAAAATGTTAAGATAAGAAGTAAATGTTTACAAAAAAAGTGCATTTGAAAATAAATTTAAGATTAAACGCGGTGATATATATTATTATAATATGCGTAGTAATTTTTTTTCACAAAAGGTTCTTGAAATATATAAGCCTATCATACGATAATCTTCCATTTTGGCTGATTTTGTTTTTTTTATTTTTTTGAGTTGCTAATACCTTTAATCATCTATCCATCTTTTTGGTAGTCATCT